GTGAAAAGAAAAAAAGGGAAGGGAGAGCATGCTGGATGCCCTAGGGAAGGGCACAGTTTGGCATAGAATAGAGTATTATTGTATGACAAATAAATTGATGTATGGGCTGGGATAATGTAATAGTATAGAAAAGGAAAAAGTAACAAGAATTTTGGCAGGGTTTGGAAAGGGATTAGGAGGCAAGAAATGTGAATGGCTTGTGTTGCGGATGATGGTGATGCACGCCGGCAGCTTTACTCTTCCACCTCTCTCTAACTCAATTGGCACGCCTGCTCCCACTATAACCTAAACATTTTAACACACTCTCTCTCTCTCTCTCTCCCTCTCAATGAAAAGCTATCCCACTAAGCCCATTTGGTGATATCGACCCTGTGTTATCTTTTTCTCAATCTCTTTCATCTTTTGTCAGACAGAAATTCTATGCCTAAAACACCAGCTAGCTAGACCATACCACCTTCCAAGTTTTACCTGAAAGCCCCATATTAGTCAATTCACCCATGAATTTTTTTTAGAAAAAAGCACACCCTAAAAGTATAGGCCATACTAGAAAAGAACCCCAGCCCCTAACCCCACCTCCATTTTTCTCATCGATTACACAAAAAGAAACCACATTTTGTACTCATAAAATTGGATTCCCAAACCTTTTGCTTTCTTTATCTAATTGTATTTACAAAACACAAACAGTAAAATCCAGTTTTAAGATCCCCTCCTTTAATCATAATCTCTATATCCCATGATCTAGTAGTACTGTTAAAAACAGAAGCTCATCACCCATCTCTTCAAACACCCCTCCCAACAGCCTCAATTCAAAGTTTATTGATGTGGGTCTCTTGTTATTTGGTATTAGATGGATACCTTGTTTAGACTTGTGAGCCTCCAATCATCCGATCAATCTTTCAACTCTAGCAGAACTTCTAGCAGCTCTAGATCCCCTAGACAAAACCATCACTACCAACAAGAAGACGAAGGATGCTACAACTTTTACATGGATGAAGAAGACTTCTCTTCGTCTTCTTCTAAACACTACTATCCTTATCATCATCAACAACAACAACAACACCAAACCCACCCTTCCACCACCACCACAACTCCCACAACCACCACCACAAACATATCTACCCCCACCACTCACCATGCTTTTGAGACTTCTGACTTCTCTACTAATTTCTCCCCTTCTCGTGACCTAAACTTTGATTTCTCCGGCAAGTGGGCTACTGATCTCCTCCTGGAAACAGCAACCGCTATTGCTGATCGAAACAGCGGACGTGTTCAACAACTCATGTGGATGCTTAACGAGCTTAGCTCACCCTATGGTGACACCGACCAAAAACTCGGTTCTTACTTTCTTCAAGCCTTGTTTAGCCGCATGACTGACTCTGGTGAGCGTTGCTATCGAACCTTAGCCTCAGTATCTGAGAAAACCTGTTCTTTCGAGTCAACAAGGAAGATGGTATTGAAGTTTCAAGAGGTAAGTCCTTGGACTACTTTTGGTCACGTTGCTTGTAATGGTGCAATCATGGAAGCTTTCGATGGTGAAAGCAACTTACATATAATTGATATCAGCAACACTTATTGCACCCAATGGCCTACTTTGCTTGAAGCCCTAGCTACCCGTACAGATGAAACTCCACATTTAAGGCTAACCACCATCGTTGCTAGCAAAAACGGTGGCGTTTCAGGTACATCAGGAGCTGCGGCAGGAGGCTTAGCTGCAGTCCAAAAAGTAATGAAAGAAATAGGAAACCGAATGGAAAAGTTTGCTAGGCTTATGGGAGTTCCCTTTAAATTCAATGTGATACACCATGCTGGTGATTTATGTGACTTAGATTTATCAGAACTTGATATCAAAGAAGAGGAAGCCTTAGCCATAAACTGTATTGGCACATTACATTCGATCACAGCGGTTGATAATCGTAGAGATATTATGATATCGAATTTCGGGAGATTGCAGCCAAGGATAATCACTGTCGTCGAAGAAGAAGCTGAACTTGACGTTGGGGTTGATGGGTTGGAGTTTGTTACTGGTTTCCAAGAATGTTTAAGATGGTTTAGGGTTTACTTTGAAGCCTTGGATGAGAGTTTTGCTAGAACAAGCAATGAAAGGTTGATGCTGGAACGAGCAGCTGGTCGAGGCATAGTTGACTTGGTGGCTTGTGCACCATCCGAGTCCATCGAGAGGCGCGAGTTAGCCACGCGCTGGTCCAATCGGTTCCACGCAAGTGGGTTTAGCCCTTTGGTTTTGAGTGATGAAGTGTGTGGTGACGTACGCGCCTTGTTGAGAAGGTACAAGGAAGGTTGGTCAATGGCACAGTGTCCTGACGCCGGAATATTCTTGTCTTGGAAAGATCAGCCGGTAGTTTGGGCCAGTGCATGGAGGCCTTGACGACGGCGATAGGCGTTTTGTTTTTGCATGGGAGTGAGTGATTCACACGCGTGTTATGTTTTTCTCGCACGTGTAATGGGATTGGTATTTTAATGGGGTTGGTTAAATTACTTTGTGTTTTTGGAAGACAAAAAAAGGCAGATAGAAGGAAATGGGAATGCCAAAGAATTTGCTTTTGATCATTTGTAATAGGATTGGGAGTAAATTGATTTTCACTAACTATAATTAATCTTCGTCTTACCATTTTGTGGTTTTTTTTTTTATTGTATGGAAAAATAGGGTTATGGTGTTTTGATATAATCATCAAATATACGAAGAGGTTTATTATTATTATTTTTTGTTTAATTGAGACAATATTTACTATAATTGATTTATATGATTATCTTAAAAGACAACATTCGAGATTTAAAATTTAAAATTAAATATTTATAATTTCTTTCATTGTCTCATATTACATCATCCGTTGTATCAAAAAATTTCCTCTATTTAATTACTCAAAAAAATAATATATAAATATGTATATACGATTGAAGGCCAAATGAAATATGAGAATTTTTCTATTTATTTTCCTTTGCAATAAAAAATTGATGTTTCATTTCATGACTAATGGAAATGGATTTTTTGCATCATCGTATCATTTTGAGACTGAATCTTTCATCGATTATTCAAATGATGCCTTAATCAATACTATCTACTTAATTTGACTCGTAAACAAATGGCGAGCTGAAATTATCCCAAGACTTGTACACAATTAAGACAAAAAGAACCAGTTTTCATAGTTTAAACATAAGGTTGGTGTTGGCCTAAATAAAAAATCAGCAATGCTAAGTAATCTTTAAATCATTGATAATATATATATATATAGGTCCAAAATTGAAATGGGGTTGGTATTTGGTGTAAAAGAGTGATATCAGCTTAGGGGAATAATTAATTAATTTTGATAACTAAAAGAAGGCGTAATTAGAACTTTCAATTATATCCATCTAAGAACAAAAATGAATAGGTATTTATCTAGTTTGGGGGCCGTCGAATCTTAGGACGGCCATTAGTTTAGGGGGTTGGGTTCCAATTGTGGGGAATCTTATAAAAAGGTGTTTAGTCATAAGTGGTATGCCATTGCCTTGGTGGCCAGCACATTTTTGTGTTGGTATGGTCTGAGCTAGACTCTCTTCCTTTTTTTATTTTTTTAATTATAAATGCACATTAAACTTTTTTTTTTCTCTTTTTCACTTTTGATTTTAGAAAGGGAAAGCTTCGGTATTGCCCAAATAAATTGGCCCCCACCATAACCTAAAAAATGCTTTCATGGTGGTGTAGCAACGTTAACAAGTAATTGCCTTTTGGCCCACACCAGAGTAGGAAGAAGAAGAAGATAAAAATAAATAAATAAATAAATTTTGTATAGTGGGAACTTCTTTTTAGGGTTAACATCTTAATCTTTTGATGAGACTTGCCCCCTCGCATTTCATCTTAATTTATTTTTATTTGTGTTAATGCCTTGTTTTAAATATCTTTTTCTTTCTTTTGCTTTTAAAGTCAATAATAGTAATATTTTGTATGCAACTTGTTTACGTGTATTCTCATCCAAGATATGTGTGTGTTTTTTATTTCAAAAGAGAGTCGGTCCATCCTTCCTTTAGCTTAAGCTTTGAATTGCTTTTTGTCGTTGACATATGACTCTCTCTTTGGACTCAATATTATGGCCAAACCTCAAGTTGTAACATGTTTAAAAATGATTATTGAATAAATTTCTTAAATGCCTTAAGCTCCATTTTGATTGGATGGACGGTGAAAAAAAAACTAAAAATCGATGAAATTTGTACTATTAAATAATATAATCTAGTGGAACAAAGCCTTGTTTGCAAATAAATTTCAATGGAATATACCATTTTGACTAGAATTAGTTGAACTTTATGATCATGATTTAAATCTAGGACGTAGGCTTATTGGGGAGTTAGGGAACATTCCCATAGGAGTTGTCTAATCAATCCAATGGAGTAAAAGCCAATGTAGGAATTAATAATGCAAACATAGCGACAATTTTCTTTATTGAATTAAGCTTCAATATTTTTATATTTCCTTGAAAACCCTAATTTATAAGCCTAGTTTAGGTTAATCTATATGATTTGAATTTTCTTTTAATTCTAACTACTTGATGGAAGAAAATATATTTGATTGCCGATCAAACTGTATATACCCAAAAGGTCAATTTAGTCAAAATTTATTTTATTTCTTATAAAAAAGGCCTTTAATTTAAGTTTTTGGGACAGTGATGGGCCAGCAGGATATAAACTAGCTACGGGTGGAAGGGTAGGCCCTCAAGCTTTTGGGAGTAGGGGACCTAACCTTTTTTTGTTTTTGGTAGGACAACATTGTCATCGTAAATTATGGTCCCAAATCACTGTCAAAGACTCCCAATTGTTCTCTCTTCTTTTTTTTTTTTTGTCCTCTCAAGTTTCAAAGCCAATTTCCCTTGCTTAGAAGGTAGCACTAGGAAATTTTTTTCAGACGCAATTTGCTTATTTCCATGTGCCCCAAGCCCCCAAACAAGAATTGATCTGAGTATATGGGCCTTTTCCTTTCGACCTCGGCAAACCGAATCATATCACTTACAACTATTGCATTATAATTAAGTAATTACAATTTAAAATTTTTAAATTTTACAGAAAAAATAAAAAGGCCAACATAAGGAACTGTGCGTAAATTATCAAGGAAAAAATATCTCAAAGTCTCAAACAAATATTTATATTCTCTGTGAAAACTATAATCCTCAAATGCTAATATTTAATATTACCTACTGACAAACTTTGTAAGTTCACTGGCAGTGCAGGAGATTTTGAACATGTACACCAAATTATTGAGGTGTGTGAGTTCAAAAAAGGCTTGGCAAATCAAAGAGACAACAATGCTAACCAGTGAAAGAATAGGTGAAGAGCCTTGATATACAATACTATAAAGCCATATATTTGACAAGAAGAAAAATGAGAATCAGTTGGACACTCTCCAACTCGGGGGAAGTCTCCACTTACGATGCCAATATATTGACACTCTTGGCCATAGTGGAAATCCGAAATTGAACTCAAGAGGCCGGTCAGCAGGACCCCTAACTATTAAAGGTAACCAGACATATCTCGAGTCCCTTAAATCAGCTGGATTCCATCGATCCGCCATGAAAATATACGAACCTGGAAACCCCGGCAAGGGAATCACAAATGTACTCTGCGCAAAAAAGGTTGCAAGTCGAAACATTTTGTTCCCTCCTAAGCATGGGTTTCCCATTGTCTCCCATGGCCCCATTATGGACTCAGCAGCATGGGCCAGTGCTTCATTTGGTGCCCATCCGGTGCAACCTGATGTGATCATGTAATAAGTCCCCTGGTACTTAAAGAGAGCTGGGGCTTCCCGGTGCTGCCCAACCAGAACCCTTCGCATATCAGGCTTCACGTCAAGATAATCTTCAGTTAGTGGTCCAATGTGAAGTTCACTATTGTCCTCGGATGAATAAATTAGATATGCTACACCATCGTCATCTTTGAAGATGGTCATGTCCCTGCTCTCGTATCCATGGGGCCTTTGGCTACGGAGATAATCAAAAGGACCCGTCGGGTAATCACTAACAGCAATACCAACAGCAGCTTTAGTGTAGTTGGCATCATCAATATGCATCCACATTACATACTTTCCTGTCTTCTCATTGTAAATAACTTTTGGCCGCTCCAACACATTGGATTTGTGGAGATCATGGGTTTCATTTGTCTCTTCTGCAGCCAACACAATGCCTTCATTTTTCCATGTCCACAAATCCTTGGAAGAATAGCAACCAACTCCTATGATGTCAACCTGATTACAAGGTAACCAAACAATTCAATGAAACCTTCTCAGAACTAAAGAGTTAGATATGCAATCAAATGTTAAAATAAGATTGTATTCCTGAAAGGCTTTAATAGGTGCTAAAAATGAGGACAATATAGTGAAGGCACAATGATGGCCTGATGTCTTAGATGTAAAGTATATCTACACACTTTTTTTTTTTTGTTTGGGGGAGAGGGGGGAGGGGGGAGAAGCTTCTACACATGCTAAACATAAAAAATAGGTGACAAAAGTCATCTCCTATGCATGTGAGTAAAGCTCAGAGTGGAAGAAGATTCTACCGGGAATGAATACTAATTATGCAGCATTTATCTTCCTTTGTCAGTCCCTGGGGTTGAACAACCAAAAAATGAAGTGGCTCAAAGATTTTCAAATTTTAACCACAATAGTCTGCTTAATCCAAATATAATGGAGCTATATTGATATCTCTTTGGATTATTACTAAGAAGTTAGAGAAATGCTGCAACTGAACTACATCAATAGAGACAACCTCAATGACAAAGAATTGATTCTATTCCACTGTTTTAAAAACAACTACAAAGTTTATATAGAAATTTATCACTGTATCAAAACCATCACATACACCTACTTATGACTCAATCCCTACCAGGAGCTAGGCAGAATATATAATCTACATGATTTCAGTTAGAAATAATAATCTCAACATGTCTTCGTATTGCACTTAACATAAGTTAAAAAAATATACACACAGGATAAAGAAACTTCATTGCTACTAATATAAATAGGATAAAATAGCAAGTGAACAAGAGCTTATGAATATCAGAAGTGCTTCATCGGGCATAAAAGCATTAGTATTCCATGTCATTACACCTATATGACCATCTTTTTTTGTACACTCAAACCTTTAAACATTTAGAGATTGCACAGTGGGGCTGTTCTTGTATCTCAAGCATCATTGCAATTTCCAAAGAGATTGATAAAGATGACACCTTCCATTAGCTCATAACTCAAGCTTTTAGTTTACATGTATGAGTTTTTTTTTTAGCAAAAGAAAAAGGTTTAGCATCAATCAACCAAAAAGAAACAGAATGAATGCCAAGGACAGAGTCTCTACAATTTGGTTTAGTTTATTCCTCAGCATTCTAACTGAACCAAGATACTTGACTTTTCCACAAACCAAAACCGAGGAAGCCTAAATGCCAATTAAATCAAACTAAATAATTTGGCTTGGATCGAATTGATTTCATAGTGCATAAGCAGGCATCTTAATTGGGCTCAGGATTAAGCTTCTCCATTTCAAAATAAGTACCTTTTTGCAGTGAAAATATGCTTCTCTACACCAAAATTACTGTTACGTTCCATATCACGGAATTGGAGATAACATAAGGATTTGGAAGATCATGAAGTTACGAAAGAAGGATTTGACAAAATACCAACAAAATTTATCTTTAGGTTTTAGTCCATCGTATTCTGGATTTGGATTCACTCATTTTATACTGAAAACAAGGGATTTCTATTGTAAGATACTAGTAAGCATGAAATGATACCCCAAAATACACTAATAATAGTGCAAATCATTCTAAGATAAACAGTTCAAAGTTTAGTACTTGCATTTAGGTAGTTTCTTATGTAGAGTTTAGTACTCTGAAGACAGAATTTGTAAGTCACCACCAAGGACAATATACCATTCACATTTTAGGAGGTCCTTATTAGTGATATTATAAATCATTTCAGCAATGAGGCACGGACGCCTAGTATACTTGTTTTACACTTTTATCGATATATCTTTATTCATTCTTCTTTCTTAGTATTTCTCTCCAATTTTCTAAGCGTCATTTATATAAATCTCAGCTCTTTTTGTCAGAGTTTTCTTCAAATAGATCTGTCTCATCCTTCTATAACCCTTAAAACCCTTAGTCCTCAAATACTAATCACCCTAAAAAATCTTTTCCTCACAAAACAAATTCTATATCTTGTTTCTCTATGTTCTTTGGACTTGCCCCTGTGACAGAATGCAAGCAACATATTCTACAGTGACAGCAAATCCAGCAGCTATAAACCTACAGGTTTTTCACTGTTAAAGTACTAAACCCTAAAGTATTTTCCTCCAGACACAATAGATGCATTAAAACCCTAATTTATTAAGACTTAACTCATAAAAGCCACAAAAGTTGCCTTCTTAAATCTGCCCAATGTCAGGAAAATAACAAACCAGCATTAGATACTCAGTAATATTATACCAAGCCGAGCAAACAAGAGTACTGGGGTAGTTGAAGCATTAACCCTAGCTAGGGTGAAAGGCAGGTTGTTCAAGGGATACTGGCTACTCAGTCATTGAAGCATAACGACTAGTTCCATATTAGCAAAGCTGTAGTTGTAAATTAGATTATGTATTCAAAATGATAAACTTACTCGTGCTGCACCCTTTTTATGAGCATGGTAGGTGGGTCCATCTTTGTACTCTCCATACCAATAGTTTGTACTGGATCTTTCATCATATAGCATACCACCTCCATGAGCTTGAATAGGATTTCCTTCAGTATCCAACCAAATTCTCCCAGGATGATAGTAGTAGCTATCATTTCCTGGGTCCTTTAGTGGGTCTATAGCAGTTTTCATAGGTGGAAAGAATACATGGCGAAGCTGGGAATTCTCGTCAAGAAATTCATCAACCAGAGTGGTTGTTCGCTTGGGTCTTCGTTTAGCAGCACGTGGAGATCGTTTTCCCCTCAGAGGGGGAATTTGAATATTCTCCTCCTCCACCTGTTCAAGTTCACGGACTAGTGGATGACGACTCATATGCAATTGGATATCTCCACTGACTGCATTTCTACGACTAACAAGAGAGTACACTTGAAGCATTAGAAGAAACCCCACCAAGCTCCACAGCATAGCAGACATTGAGCATCTGTTCCCTACATTGAGAGGGAAAGCCGTTGATTTCCTGTATTTGTTCCTCACTCTCATATTCTCTTCCTTTTTTATCTCCAAGATAATGCTGCCATTAAGAAAATGCAACCTACGGAGATCCAATAAAAATGGGACCAAATATGAGTCACAACCATGCTAATCTACTCAAATCTCTTAATTTCATCAAAATTTAAGTACTACAACAACGTGCACACCAATCCTATCGATTGGCTAGACTTAGATTGACTATCAATAGCAACCAAGTCCAGAACATGGCCAAAATGCACACCTTCAAGATTAGTATAGGCAATTATCAACTCCTAATAGAAAGAAAAGGACCACCTTGAAAGAACAAAATATTTATAATTGCATTAAGTTTAAGGTTTACCATCTACTCTACATGCACCATACATTAAATTCTAAACACCCTTTCATACTCAAATAAAAAAAATTATAAAGTTCATTATCAATGCAAACAAGGCAATTTCCATCGTTATCACCTCAAAATTATCAAACTTCTAAATTGTCATCTGTACATTATAAAAGCTAAAACCCCTATAGCAGATCCACAAAACATATGAAAAAAAACGAACTTAGAAGAAAACAATTAATACCCACAAAAAAAAAAAAAAAGCAAAGAAAAGAAAGAGAAAACTTACCCGACAAAACTCTAGGAAAATTCCCAGTCCCAGATATGGGCATCTCTGCTTAACCCTTTCTTTAAAGTTCCAAAAACAAAACCAAGCAAATGATAGTCTGATAAAAAAACCCCAATTTGACACAGTTGCCAACAATCTTACTAGGAGAAAAGGAGTAAATTTTGACAAGAAGAAGAAGACAAAGCGAGGAGGAGTTGGGTAGTTTATGTCTGGTTTGTTTAAAATAAGATCTAAAGAAGGTTTTTATGAAGAAGAAGAAGAATAAGATTATGACTTTTGAACAAAGATTTTTTCCCTTTTTTTTCTTTCACTCTATCTATTTCATCTATCTATCTTTTGTTTCTTTGTCCCTATCTCCTTTGTGCCAAGTTTTGAAACTTGGACTAAATGGTCTGATTTGTCTGTCATTTTCTCTCTTTCTTATGCCTTCGTTTCTACCCCATTCATCAGATCAAATGTTAGATTTTTTGCTGATGTAATGTAATCATAGTTTTTGTAACTTGATAGAATTTTGCTTTTGCTGTTGATGATTTTTTTAATTTTGGGAAATTAATTAAAATGTCTTACATGTAATTATTAAGTAATTAATAAGACCAACGGCTGTTCTATAATTGTTGATTTCAAAAACATCCAATGAGGTTTCGACAGTCAAAGACTTTGATGATTTATAGCTGTCCAACTTTCCTTATCAACGGACGAAGTTTTTCTTTCCTTAGAAAAATAGTAAAGAGGAAAAGAAAAGGAACAACATAAATTATTTCTATATATAAAGAAATCTTACCAAAATGAAAATTTAGTTAAAGTGTTTGATTAATGGATATTTTTATATTTTTTAAATATAATTAAATATTATTTTTTTAAGTATTTGGATTCAAATTTTAGTATTTACATTGTGAATTATTTTATGAAAAAAGTTTACATAAAAATATTTTTAATAAATTAACTACTACAAGTATTTCCCTTGATAAATTGAAGAAGTCTTTTAAAAATAACAAAAAAAAATCTATGTGATTAAACAGAAAATTTTTTTAAAAAAATAAAGAAAATGAAAAGGGTTGGTCAATGGATTACTTGACAGCCTAAGTTGATATGGCATCTTTAGTTTTGATTAGTTGATCAAATTTTAGAACCAAACAATGGCTTTAGAATCACTAACAATACCTCTTAATGTGGTTGGTAGGGGACAAACATCTTTTTAAAAAGAAAATAATATTTTTATCCCCAAAAAAAAAAAAGCATAGTTTGGGCATGAAGATTGATTAATACTTATGAAATAGTATAATACGATGTAATTTAATACAAATATATGGGCTAAAAGGGTTGGCCATAAATTATTACCTATAATGAGGACATGGATCTATGTTAATAATTAGTTTCTAAGTATTTTTTTAATTCTAGTTAAATTTTTTTATTGAATTTAAATTAAGGAGAAATCATGATTAATGACTAATAAAGACATGCTTGATCCTTAATTAAGGTAGCTTTCAGTAGCGTTTAAGTGACATATTCATTGGTGTTATGCTTAATCCATTCTTTTGGCAGTAATACAAGAAGGAAAATTATAATTAACCAAAGTTTTTAATGTATTTTCCTCTTTTTTTTTTCTTTCATAAACTCAGATAAATTACTAATATGTTTGCTCAATTAATCTCGCTTATCACAAAAGATTAGGTACGTGTTATTTTCCTTAATACAGAAAGTCACAAGTTCTGACAGCTTTGCATTTATTTATTTTGATGATCCTCTGTGAATTTATCAGAGTTTTTATAGTAGTTTTTAAAACCCCAACTCTCTGGCTGCAAGTCACTAGAAATGGCTGATAACATTTAAAATCATGGCCTGGCTTTAATTGTTACTTTAAACGTTTAAACCTAAAAGATTAGGCATCACATGCAAGAAATATAAATCATTGATTAATTAGAAATCTCAAGCTCAAATGATTCCTTCATTTTTGTTTTCAAGGTAAATTCTTATAAGATTAAGGTAATGTTGGATAAATATTAATAAAGGAAAAAAAAATAAAGTTTTTAAAAAGGAATGAAAGGATATATGTATTTTTTGTTTGAATAATTAAAATTAATAAAAAAAATATTTTAATAACTATTATTTAGATAAATAGTAAAAAAGAAAGGAAATGATTCATTATTATAAATTTTTTTAATTATAATATTTTATTATCTGTGATTTTAGAGTATTTTAAGATAATGATATATTTATTATCTTGTGTGATCTCACAATTACTGCTATATCAATGATTTTTAATCAAGTGAAATTGAAAAATATTTTACAAACATGCATTGATGGATTTTTTTATCATTACCAAAATTTCAACACATTATCACTTTAGTGATATATTCATATAAAAACTATTAAATAAAAAAAATGCAATCACATAAAAACATTACATCTCATAATCTAAAAAATATATCTATTCATATTCAATTATTTATCAAAATTAAACCACCAAAAAATTATAAAAAAATTTTATATTGGAAGAGACATGTGAAGTTTGAAAAAAGAGATAGACTTTGAAAAAATTATACGAAGATAATTATGTAGTTTGATTTTTTTGACTAAATTTTTAATATTAATAAAAAGATAGATATAATAATCTTTTTATAAAAATAAAATTTTTTGAACTTTCTTTTCCATAACTTTTCCCCCAAATTTGGAGTATTAAAAAATTGAAAATTACAAAAAAAAACAAAAAATTATTAAGTTTATATCTCTTTTCTTTTCTTTAAATTAAAAAGTTTATTTAAAAAAAAGAAAGATTTTTTTTTCATTATTTTCTTTTATTTTCCTTTCCTTTCCCTCCCTTCAATCCAAACATAGTGTAAGATTTAATTTTTAATACTTGTAATTTGTTTTTCCTTTTTTTTTGAGATCTCGAACTCTTTTCGTAAAAAAATCATTGGTTTAGCACTTAAAAGAACCATAAGATATTTCATCATGTATAATCCTAGTTCTCCATTGGCAAAGTTTCATGCATTAATTAGAACAAATTTGAGCTTTAAAAACGAAATTGTCAACTCATTACTCCATTAAATATGTTTTACCATGATTTACCATGTCTTAGGAAAATAATGAAATATAGTTTTTAGCTTCTTCTTTTTTTTTTTTTTTTTTGAACTAAAAAACTGATTGTGGCATGAATAATTTGGACAACCTAGCTAACCGAGGATATAAGTTTCACCATACATTTTGCTATTCTGCTGTCTGTCTAGGGTTAGCGAATAATGAACATCTAGAAAAGCTTCTTCCCTTTTCTTGGTAAGCTTTCAGAATCCAAGTTAACTCTAAAAACACCATGAAAACTGAAAGAGATAGCATCGATGCCCAAAGCCATCGTAGCGATTTCCTGAATGGCCTGCATTGATGCAGGAAAATCTCAGAGAATGCATCTTTTACCATGGTGCATTCTGCCAAGTTCTGCAGATCAGGAAATACATTAAGCATGTCCTGGACAGAATAGCTATAAGCCGATGCCTTATTGTAAGTATCCTCAGGAAGGAATTTTCCATCACTTAAGCATTTTTGAGTAGAATTTTCTTTGTAACAGGTGAACCTTGAAAGCATCTGCCAATGAGTTTTCAATCAAAGGTAAACCTCAGCAAAATGTGTTATGGTTAATCAACTTTATAAAGATTTTCATGTCTTGGGGCACAAGTAATCTTTGCTTACATCTGGTATGTCGCCAATGGGGATGGCATGCTCAGGGCAATCTTCAGGTACATAGCTGTAGTCAGGTGCTCCGGAGAACGGGTCACATATCATCCCAAAGCCGAATAAATCATCATTTTGTTCATTCAACCCGATTCTTGAATATACCTCAGTTATTTTTAAGTTCAACTACAACAAAGAAACACATTCACATATAGTATCATATAAAACTATGTCACGTTTCTCAATTCTGCAATGCAAATACTAATCGATTTAGTACTACCTCGTCTATGAAATCATGGATAGTGGAGCCAATTCCAGTCAAGATTTTGTCTGAATTTTTTGACTTCATGCAGGGTAATATTGAGCTTAAAATGTTGTTTTGGGGGTCTTGCACATAATTTTCAATAGCTGAACAAGTATCTTCAATCAAACTGCATAGCGGCATGAGATTCTCAAAACTTCTGGCATGGTTGGGAAAGGCAATAAATTTCAAACGTTTACTCACGTGTGACAGAAAAAATCAAAGCCAGTCAAAAACCAGCACAGAGCTGTTAAGATCCAGCAGAAAAGAATTATGCTGAAATGAAGAGGGAGAAAACCATGGAAGCAAATAAGCAGAAGACAGAAGTTTACGTCTTAATTTACCAAGATAAGCTGAAGGAGAAATTCAGATTTTTTCTTACAAGATAAGTCCGGGGTGCCAATGTAACAGGAGCAGAACTGATCCAAAGCGGCAATCCATTATCCATTAGTATAATCAAATTGGAACCAGATATTAAAACATTGTTTTGAAGAAGAAAAGCAAGCAATAGTCCTTTGAAAACCGAATTCTTGATCGAATAGGAAGTATTTCTGCTACAAATCAAATCTGATATATATAATTTTATGTCAAACATAACTGATTAAGCAGAACTCACCTAATGCAGCAATCAACAACAGCAAGTTGACAATGGCAATCACAAGATGCGCAAAGTACCTAAGTCAAAGAAAGCAAAAAGAAGAAGAATGTAGACTGTAAAGTACATATAATGAAGACATTATAACAGAAAGCTACTCGCTTGGATTATCTGCTTACGAAGCTTGAATTGCCACATTGATTGATTGTTCATGTCTTCTAACAAAATTTCGAATGGTCCTTGATTCCTTTCCTAGTCTATGAGTTGTCACATTCAATTGCTGAGAAGTCTTTCGATCATAAGGAAGCAGAAGGTATTGCATTCTTGTCATTGCGGTGATTAGTTTTCGGATGGATCTGCTAACATCCTCTCCAGCATTTACAATAGTGTTTTTTAATTTCTTTGTTCTTTGTAGAGAGCTTTGGTTTGCTGCAATGACAAAGCTGGCAGCAACTCTTTGGGTTGGATCACATGCAAAAGTGACAATTTATCAGATTAGTTGCTATAACTTGCCAATGTTACTAATCTATACCCTGAATTGGCTTTGGTCAGCTTAAAAAAGTTTAGGGTGAATGGAGGTTTTTCCATTCTAAAACCAGAGCAGACCACAAAGCTTCAAAAAATATTTATCAATCATCCACTAAGGGAGATTGCTAGCAGCCAAATTTGAACACAAATCTTACAAATCAAATATTCGAATTTTATAAACTAAATCAATTTCGTTTACCATATTTTAGGAACATACATTTTTCATTCACCATTTAAGAAGCAACTATCCAGGTCACATACAAGAATCTTTCCATGATAATTTTGTGATTAGTTAAAATCAACCACCTTAAACCAGGTTTTTACCATTCTAGATTGAAGTTTAAGATCTCCGTCCAAAATTTTGAAGTTACAGCTACCTTAAATGCATGAAAAACTTTTTTTTTTTTTTGCATTTCAAGTTTGAAGTTTGAGCTATCTTTGAAATCTAGAGTCCAAGTATTGGGCTTGGAGGCCCATGGACCTTAACCTGTATATCTTGAATTCTGTTTGGCCTATGACTTAAACAAGAACCCATTTAGCAGAAACTCATTAAAAGTGTAACACGTTCATGCATTCCTACCAGCAATGAGAGATGGAAGCAAAGCTGAATTGATTGAGGCACTTACATGGCGAGCAACGTTAAGAGGAGGAACAACGTAAACAAAAACAAACAGTAACGATCCAAATGGTCCGTAAAAGAAGAAGAGGAAGAAGAAGATTCGTTGCTGCTTATGTTCTTGAAAATCAAGAAAATTCCAAGACATACTCCAAATAATGTCCAAACTCCCGCCATTGCAAATCCATGAACTCCTGTAAATGCCGCCGACTGAAAACATCATAAAGACCCCCCAACAAAAAACAAAAGAAAGAAGCAACAAAATGAATGCAAAGACAATAACTCACGGCCCAGTAATGCTTGTTGGTGACGTTATAGAATCCATGGTAGTCCTTCAACCGTCGAAGGGGATCGGGTCTCTTCAAGGTACGTTCATGATCATGAGCCCGTGATCCAAAAACTACCATCTTTGGTGTCAACAGGGAGGAGAAAACGAGTAGGAAAATAAATGAAGCAACAACTCCATTTGGTTTAGACATGAAAACCATAAAGAGGTTGGATCTTTTAGAGGAATGAGAAAAAAAGGGTAGAAACCAGAAAGAGAGATAAATGTTTGTATCAAGATTTTGTAACCTTTTAGAGAAGAATCAAAGAAAGAGAATATATTGCAGGGTCGCCTAACTTAAAGAGTAAGGTAAGAATTGCTTGTGGCTATGGTTTTAGTAAAAATATTTTGATCTGGTTAGTGAAAGGAAAGAAAATGTGTAGAGCAACGAATCAAGAGCCGAAATTTCTGGTTCATTTTTTGACCACCTCTTCGGTATATATATTTTAAATTTTTATAAAATAAAAATAATTATTTTATATATAAATTTATTTAAATATATTAAAAATCTATTAAAATAACACACACACATATATATATATATATATAAACTTATGAATTAATCTGAACCAATAAAATTCGATGTGAATTAAATCGATTTCTAAAAATGATTGGTTCAAATTCAGATTGAATTTGTAAAATTTATAATATTATGTATTATTTGAAAAAATCAAATCAAATCGAATATGATCCGATCTGAACAGTTATCACTCATAATGTTAATGGTATATCAAATTATTAATTCATGAACATGTGGTTTAGTCCAAATGATTATGAAAGTTAAGATATAATTAATTTTAACTCAAAATGTCCAATGAATCAAACAATCACATAAACCAGTAAGTGTATTTTATAATTTTCACATATAGAAAGTTCATTGCTTAAAAAAGAAAAAATGGATGTTCAAACTTTGTTTGGGTTTTGGGCAAGTTACTAAAAGATTCTAGTTAGAACTTGAACAAAGCCCATCAAATATGCTCAAACCGGATTTATTAGAAAATCGTTAGGCCCATTTTTTGGAATGGGTTCAGGCCCTTTTCTCCAGCACATGGTAACGCTTGAGCTTCCGTTAGACTCGAGAGTCCCACTCTCCAATCACCTCCACAATCGTCTCCGTGACCCACCAATCACATTCCTCCGTGAACGCCACTCGCCAAAACTGAGATTGTTGACTGTTCAATCTACTTCTTCATCCGAACTCACTCACTTTTTCTACGGAATCTTTGGTCCCACTTGGTCCTAATTACGACAAACTTGCGGTTTTTTTAACTGTAGTTAAAGATCCAATAAAATCGAAACCGTCCATAAATTCCCAATCACCCACTATCAACGGCTGAGATTTTCCTCAAACATTAATAAATTTTTTTTCTTTCAACCACCCATTTATCGCCCACCGTAATTTAAAATCCGATTTGGATTAATTTTTCTTGTTTATATGGAAAGGCAATAATTGGAAATGAGGAATTCTTAAAAAAAAATAAATAAATAAAAATCGGCAGGCTAGGGGGAGGGAGGGAAGGAAAAGGAAAAGGCAGGGGCTGAGAGAGATCTCTGGCTCTCTTTCTCTTTGAAAATTGACTAAAAAAGTTTTTTTTTTTTAATCTTGTTGCTTTAGATCTTTGGTTCTCTTTCTCTTTGAATCTCCAAATGGGTTTGTGGGAAGCTTTTCTCAATTGGCTTCGCAGGTAGGAGAAATTCTTTTTCTTTTTGGTTTCCTTCAATGTTACTCTTTTATTAATTTCTGATGGGTTTTTAGAAAAATAGTTGTATCGGATTGGGTTTCATTTATTTAAGCTAAAATCTCTTTCTTTATCCTTAACTTTGTGTTTTTCCAGCTTTTGTTTGAGAATACAGTCAAATTTCTTCTATATTGAAAGGAATAAATTGATGTATAATTCATGAACAAAATGGATAATTAAAGACGGGTTTTGATTTTTTTTTTTTTTGACAAAAGAATGTTTGAATATCATATTCAATGCAATTCTCAATGAGTCAATGGTTTTACTTTGTTTTATTTCTGCGGTTGGGTGGGGCACATTATGACAACGTAAATCTGCAGATAAGGAAATCTTTATAAAAAATAGGACAAAGGGAAGGAAGAGGAGACGTTAGTTATTCTTGGGATGAAGGGAACTGTATGGCATTAAGGTTCCAGTTGTCAAAGTTTGATTTCTATAAGGAAATCCAATCTAGGTATCCTTGCTAGGAGTGTTTTCTATGGTGGTGAAGTGAATGCACTAGCTTTACGATATCGTGCCTTTTGAGGCATATACTAGTTTTATTAGTATGAAGGTCGTGAGCTTTATCTTTTACTGGTTTTGATCAAGCTATAGTTAATGGTGTGATTCATTAAAGTTTTTTACCAGAGTATATTAAACAAATATGTTTTTTGCTCTGCAAATAATTGAGTTCTAATTTAAGTTCTAAATGCTGTTCCGATTTCACGTGGATTTGTGGATGGTTCGTATATATAATTTTTTTTACGGGAAGCATTTTCTTTTTAGCAAAACTGAAATTCACATATCAGTCAGTTTTATATGCTTTTATAGAGGTATATGTTTGGAGCATTCTTAAATGAATGCCACGAAAGTTAAACATGCTAAATTGCTAAAATTGTGAGCGGTATTCTGCTAGATTGATTTTGTTGCTTATTCAATTCATTGGTTTTAGTCAGTCACCTATCATTGCTGAGTTTTCAAACCTTTATTTGTTTTAAACTTTTTCTAAGTCTCTTCCAAGTTGACCTTGTAGGTCAACCTTCACAGTATATGTTGTTTCATAGGTTTTACTTTTGGTATATGTTGTTTTGCAGCCTGTTTTTCAAGCAGGAAATGGAGTTGTCTTTGATAGGACTTCAGAATGCTGGAAAAACCTCATTAGTGAATGTTGTTGCTGTAAGTAAATTAAAACTTCACTTGTAAATGTCATTGGAGTCTATGTTACTTGGACTCGGGTGAGTTTCAGGTATGTCTGACACGGGTATGCTCATTTTTTTTCTTAGTTTTTCCATATGTTTGGAAGATTGTACCTACTTACCCATGTCTGAATATGTGTCGGACACGGGTACTTCATGGAAAATGAAGAGTCAAAGTAACATAGGTTGCAGTACAAAGGGTCCATTACTAGCAATCTAGCATGTGTTTTGTCTTAATTCTGTGGGTTGACTCTAAGTTGGTTGGTTGTTCTTTTTCAGACTGGTGGATATAGTGAAGATATGATCCCTACGGTGAGTCATATCCATCTAAGTGGATTTTTATTTGGTTCATCAGTTTTTCTTTTATTTGTGAATGGAGATGATTTACGTTCCAATGCTGTTAGTCCTTTTCTTTCTGTCATAGAAGTAAGGTAACTAATTCTTAATGGCTTGTTTTCAGGTTGGATTCAACATGAGGAAAGTGACAAAAGGAAATGTTACAATAAAGTTGTGGGATCTTGGAGGTCAACCTAGGTTTCGCAGTATGTGGGAACGATACTGCCGTGCGGTTTCTGCAATTGTGTAAGAAGCTACTTTTCTATTTTCATAGACTTGTTATTTGAAAGAACTTTCTTCTGAATTGCTTTATCAATTTTGGGGTAAGAAAAGTTTTCTTTGCTAATGGTTTATCCATCTCTGCTTTGGTAGTGAGCATTTCAAAGATGGCATTGTTAATATTATCTAAAACTGCATGTTCCTTTATTTCTGTTTAGGTCTATGTCTTCAAAAAGCATTGCTCATGAATTGAAGGTATTAAATTCTTTGTTATAAACTCTAGTTGGTATTTGGAAAGGTTATATAGCCTAGATCTAAAAGATGCAAAAGTTATTATCTATAATTATTGCAGTATTTGACTGGTCTTCAGTTACTTGCCTTCGTACTTCTCAAATCGTGAAACCCTGATATAGTTCTTAGTTATGTGAATTGCATGTACGTCTTTGTATATCTATTAGCTAACCATGAGCATGAGTCCGAAGAGAAGAATCAGCAAGGAACTTCTCTTTAATGAATGGTAACTCTTAGGATTTCTTACTAGTTTGATATATCTGCGCCTTAGGCAATAACACGTTACAAATAGGTTAATAAAAGGTCGGGTATTAAAATTTATACCCATAATTGGATCAATTGTTATGAGAAAATAACAGTTGTTTCTCATTAAATTGGTTGCAACTGCTATGTTATTTGTGTATGAGCACATGTTTTCCCTATTAGAACCCAGGTTGCTTATTTAGTTTTTATGGTAGTGAAACTATGTAAATAAATCCCATAAATTCTTTTAGGTGCATTTCTTTTTTGGATCCTGTTGCGTGTCAAACTCGGTTATGACTGGATGTTAAATGATAAGACTGGCTATCAAATTCTGCAGAGGTTTTGGTGAATTTACATCTACTCTGATTTTCTTGCAGTTATGTGGTGGATGCTGCTGATCCTGATAACCTGAGCATCTCAAGAAGTGAGCTTCATGATTTGCTGAGTAAGCCCTCACTTAATGGCATCCCTCTTCTGGTCCTAGGCAACAAGATTGACAAGCCAGGAGCTCTGTCAAAACAAGCTTTGACAGAAGAAATGTAAGGGACATTCACTTGACTCACTCATTAACTGGACAAAGCAGAATTGTAGGATTAAGTAGAAACTTTCTCATAATACGGGATATTCTATGCAGGGGACTCAAGTCAATTACTGACAGAGAAGTTTGCTGCCACATGATATCATGCAAGAACTCAACCAACATTGACTTAGTTATTGATTGGCTTGTAAAGCATTCCAAATCAAAGAGCTGAAATAAGACTTTTCTTTCTCTTTCTTTTTTTTTTTAAATTCTTTTTGTGATGAATTCTAGTTTCCCAAGGGATACGATTTGTGTTGTTTGAGAATTTCAATTTTTGGTTTTTCCCTAAATTTTCTGATTGATCAATTGTGTTTTTTCCCTAACAAGTGTGTTTGGATTCATGTCAATGCTTTGGGTATCAATGGTTTTTTGATAAGGTGTCACGTTAAGAAAATCTTCAAGTAAAAACAAAAAGAACAAAAAAAATCTTTAAGATATTTAATATATGTAATTGAAATAATTGAAACACTCTAAGATAATGTGGCTGACTCCAACTCCATTTTGAACCAAAATGGAAGCTTCAATAGTCCCTTGTCCTCAACTCCCTACCCCTCCGCTTCAGTTCGAACCAAAAACTGAAAACATCAAAAGAAAGCTCCTACGGAAAGGCGTTTACCCAACTCCCAAAATTGTTCGAACTCTTAGGAAAAGGGAAATTCAAAAGCATAACCGCAAAAGCAAACAATCCCAATCCGAAACGCCGCCGCTGACCGCTTCCCAGCTCGAAGCTCTGGCCGAAGAATCCCACTTTTTAACCCTGAAACGCGAGTACAAACGCTTCTCCAAAGCGCTCAACGCCAACAAGGAGCCCCAGAGTCCTTCCTTGGTGGGAAAACCATGGGAGAGAATCGAAGCAGCCAAGCTTCGGGAGTTCGTTTCCAAAAACGAAGACTTCCATGGAGAGACATTGAAGAGAGAGAACCTTGTGGAACTCCGAGAAATGTTCGAGAAGGACCTCCGGTGGGTCCTGGAGGATGATGTCGACGTGGAAGACGATGACTGGCTGTTACCGAGTAAAAAGCCGATCCTTGATCGGGACCCTTCAAAACGGTGGCGCAACGAGAAAGAAGCCATTCGTTTTCTCGTTGATAGGTTCCATGCTTGAACTTCATTTTCTTTTATTTTTAATTTTCTTTTTTTTCACTTTTGTTTTTCATTAATTAATTTGTTGAACTAATTTTAGGTTAAGTGAGAGAGAGATAACTGAAAAGCATTGGAAATTTGTGAGGATAATGAAGCAATCAGGGCTGCAATTTACAGAGTGGCAGTTACTTAGGATTGTTGAAGGACTTGGAAAGAACGGGAAATGGAGGCAGGCGATGGCCGTCGTCCAATGGTTGTACGGAAATAAGGAGCGTAAAGATTTTAAAAGCAGGTAATCTTTCTTCCCTTTGCATTGAATTCAATTAATTTGCATAAGATTTTTAATCTGTGAGGATTTTCCTTTTTGGCTTTTAATGTTAGTTGGAAGTAAAGTTACTGGACAATTAGGTGTTTTGATGTTGGTATGATGTCTTAAGACTGTACAATATATCCTATGAACAGATTAATGTATTTTGTAGGTTTGTTTACACAAAACTGTTGTCAGTTCTTGGGAAGGCGAGAAGGCCTCAAGAAGCTCTCCGGGTTTTCAATCTGATGCTTGTAATACTCCACTGTTGTATTGCTTTATGCAATGGGAGATCTTTTTGAGTATTTATGCAATGCTGCTGGCTTAATACTTGCTCTAAATTGTTCAGGGAAACTGCCATATATATCCTGATTTAGCTGCATATCACAGTATTGCTGTTACATTGGGGCAAGCTGGTCTTTTGAAGGAACTGCTGAACATAATTGAGTGCATGAGGCAGAAACCTTCAAAAAGAATTAAAAATATGCGCCGCAAGAACTGGGATCCAGTGCTTGAACCTGATCTGGTTGTATATAATGCTGTATGTAAGAATTTCTCTGTTTGTTGTTCGTTTTGACATTCCCTGACATCTTTCAATCCATTATGTAATGATATAATAATTTTCTCTGGCAAAACGCTTGCCAGGTTCTGAATGCTTGTGTCCCACTGCAACAGTGGAAGGGTGTTTCCTGGGTGTTTCAACAGTTGAGAAAGAGTGGTCTGAGACCTAATGGAGCAACATATGGGATTGCAATGGAGGTACTTATAATCCATGATGCCTACATTTACACTGTGTTTCAGGCATCTTACTTTTGGTCCTAAGAATACAAGTAATTTAGTATTGTTCCAATGATGGAATCATGGTCATTTGAATGTGTGTCTTAAGATCATGTGCTATCTTTTGTCAGTTATTTTTCCTGCAACAAAGTGGTGATTAACTCAGCTTTCAAAGCTTTAGATTCCAGACAGTGGCAAAATACATTTAAATGTCCGTTGTCCATTTGTCTCTACAATATTTCTAGCAAAGCTTAAAGTAGTAATGGGGTATAACTTTATAAATGACCTCTCAAGGGTACCATTTGAGTGAAATTGCAAAAGTCCTGATGTGTGTTTGCATGCAGAACTTGATTTTCTCCACTATATTTCATGTAATTTAAAATCATAGGAGCCTAAATATAAATTAGTTTTTGGTTTGCCAAACCCACCGTAGTGGAAATATGCTTGGTGCTCTAAATGAAGGAAAGTATATCTACGTGCAAATGTTGTTTATCCTCAAGTTGCATTCCTATTCAAGTCTTACAGGAGTTGCTTATTGATAGGTGATGCTGCAATCTGGAAAGTATGATCTGGTCCATGAGTTTTTTGAAAAAATGAAAAGAAGCGGAGAAGTTCCAAGAGCACTTACATACAGAGGTAATCATATTTCCTTCTTTTTTTTTTTTTGAGCACAAGTTTTGTTCTCGTGTTTCTGTTGAAAATGTGGTTTCGATAGCTAAGTCAATGCTGCTTTGATCTCTGGCTTTCCAGTTCTTGTCAAAGCTTTTTGGGAGGAAGGAAAGATTAATGAAGCTGTGGAAGCAGTCCAGGATATGGAACAGAGGGGATTAATTGGAACGCCCAGTGTCTATTATGAGCTAGCTTGCTGCCTTTGTGAAAATGGGAGGTGGCAAGATGCTATGATAGAGGTAAATTTCATTCTCTATGGCATTTTAACTTGTTACTGGATCTGAGTATTGAATATGGCATATCTGAATCACGGATACACTTTTTCAAGTTCTCTGCTAAGAGAAAGAGTCCCTGTCCGCACAGTGGGTGGGGGCAGGTGGAGCACAGAGAGATCATTTTATGGATATTAATGACTTCCACGTGCATACCGGCTCTTGTTTTAGAACTGATGTTCCCTTGTTCTTCTGATTTTTTTGCAAACTACAATGACTTCAAGCACCTATTGCCATAATTACATTGGTGTTATTATTATTTATAGCACTGCAAGAGGATCTGAAAAAAAATTCACATTATAATAAGAGGGGGACATGAGGAACCATATGAAATTAGAATCATTTAATCTTGACAATTTAATGGCTTGTCTGACGTTTGATATGTTTTTCTCCTGGCCTTCTCCTTTAGATTTTTGTTTTTTTTGTACTTATGCTAGATAGAGATAGAAAGCACACAAAGAAGTTCAATAATAATTATTTCATGTCAGAATTTTTTCTATCTTTTTGTGCTTTTACCTCTGTATCTATTTTCTCATTGGTGTTGGTCTTAGATCTGGAAAATTTAACTTCATCTAAACTATGTTCGCAGGTGGAGAAGATGAAAAAACTCTCTGATAGGAAACCTTTGGAGATTACCTTTACTGGTCTGATAATGGCTTCCATGGATGGTGGACATGTTAATGATTGCATTTCCATATTTCAATACATGAAAGACCATTGTGCACCCAACATAGGAACCATAAATGCAATGCTTAAATTGTATGGCCAGAATGATATGTTTTCTAAAGCCAAAGAGTTGTTTGAAGAAATCAACAAAGCCAAATCTGGCCCTTATGATTCCCTGAATGGCAAGTTTACTAGCCTTATCCCAGATGGGTTCACGTATAGCTTAATGCTGGAGGCATCTGCTAGTGCACACCAATGGGAATATTTTGAGTATGTCTACAAGGAGATGTCTCTCTCTGGATATCAGCTAGATCAAACTAAGCATGCAATTCTACTTGTGGAAGCATCCAGAGCTGGGAAGGTAAGCTAAATTTATCTTCTTCTTATTTGAACTTTATGAAGGTGTTAAATTTATTATGTCCTTCTGTATTATTTTTGAAGCTGTTAATTCCACATTGGACCAGAAAGGCTAATTTTTCATGTCCTCTGTTGATTGTTGAATAACCATTATTTTGTATCTGACCAATTTTTTCAAGAATTTCTTTAAATTGAATTTACTGGAAATTGCTAATGCACAGAAAGAAAGGTGAAAAATTAAGTAATTAGCCTGCTTTGATATGTGCAGTGGTATCTATTAGAGCATGCATTTGAAAACTTTTTGGAAGGTGGAGAGATTCCCCATCCTCTGTTCTTCACTGAGATGTTAATTCAAGCTATTTCTCGAAGTAATTATGAGAAGGCTGTCACCCTGGTCAACGCCATGGCTCATGCCCCATTTCAAGTCAGTGAAAAGCAGTGGACTGAGCTTTTTGGGAAAAGTAGAGACAGGATTACTCACTGTAGTTTAGCGAAACTGTTGGATGCACTCTCCCATTGTGAATTATCATCCGAAATCACAGCCACCAACTTGTTAAGATCCTTGCAATCTCTCTGTGGATCTGCCTCATCGACAAGTTCCAGGTCCCTTCGCGGTGAAGTTGCTGGTAAATCAGGGCCAAATGGTATCGATGGGGAAAATTTTGGTAGTGAGAGATTAAATATTCCAAGTATTTATGGGGATATGATAGGTGAAAAAACTAATGCAGCCATGGATCCTTCTCCAGAAGCAACTAATGTATCATTTGCTGTTTTATCTGCTAACCAAAATGAAAAGAAAGAAGAGAGTGGTGCTGATGCAAATTTGGTACATAGGTTATCAAAATATGATATGGACGATAGTATATCCAAAAAACTCAGCCGCATGGGAGATTTCGTGGATGATGTTGCATCTGGTGGGCCTACTAATTGTTTGGGTAAGCAGTTCTCTTTGTTAAATTTAGATGAGTACACCAAGGATGTCGATGAGACTGAAATTGACCTGCCAATCAATGATGATGAAGCTGAAATGGACTTGGAAATCTCTGCGCATGAGATATTGGAATCATGGAAGGAAAGCAGGAAAAAAAAATGAGATTTTCTTTCCCATCCATCTTGGCCAGAAGTGAGTGGCACCATTTTCCTTGCATTCTCAGAACTCAAAGTCTGGTATTGCAGAACAGCTTGCCAGCAAAGTTGAGGATCCTCAAAGCTGAGAGAATGTAGCAGAAAGAGCTGAAATATTAATGAGAGAGAGTTCCAGGAAGAGGGTCCTATGGTTCTACCATCACCTTCAACTTCAAGGAAGGTATGGTCAACAGACCTAACAATCAATGCAAGTGCCCTGGAATGAGGAAGTCTAGGAATGCTAGTCTAGCGTACAACAAGCTCCTTCAATGGATTTAAGGGGCGAACGATGTTTCCACTTGAGAGATTAGAAAGCAAATGAGTCACTTTGAACTGGATAAGAATATGGTTGACATCTCTTAGGGAAGGAAGCCAACTCCTTACTTGCTATTGATACCCTGCTATTCATTTAAAAACAGGTATTTCCATGTATTACCAAAAGTGAAAAGTAGCTATTTGAATTTTAGATTTTTATTTTTTCATGTCTCAATTGCTAAATTAATAATTTATTAATCATTTGTTGGTAATAGTAAAATAATTCAATTTAAAATTATTCAATTAGATATAATTCGATTGATTTATGTAATTATTTTTAAAAAATATATTTATTCAATTTGAAATTTAAATTTTAATATTATAATTTTTTTGGATTTCTTTTGCAAAAAAAAATTACTCATTTTGAAGTCTTAAATTTGAAAATAATAAAAATTGTTATCTAATAAATAAAATCATAACTTGGGAAAAACGAAGGTATTAATTAAGCTTCAAATAAAATTATGCTTTAGCCGAGTGCTCAAAGCTTTGTCGGAAGGTTCAGAAAAAACAACTATTAAAATCTCGAAATTGACCTCATCTCCTTCCTACCTCTAAAACCCTCTGATACCCCACTGAAAAACTTGAAACCCCATTCCTCAAAATGTTCCTCATAACCGCAAAAATCCCCCCCAATTCCCTCATCAAACTCCTCATCTCTTCCCCATCCAAACCTATTTCTCGCTTCTTTTCCACCACTATTGCTGAAGATCGTACCCAGAAACTCGAACGCATTGCCGACGAGCTCTTTGACCTAACAAAACTCGAACGCTACGACTACTCCATCCTCTTCCATCTCAAACTTGGCCTCAACCGCTACGGCCCCGCCGTCTCCGGTGTCACCTCCGCAGCCCCCTCAGCACCCGGATCCGCTTCGGGCGCAGCCGAATCGAAAGCCGCAGAAAAGACGGCGTTTGATATAAAGCTGGAGAAATTTGACGCAGCAGCGAAGATAAAGATAATAAAAGAAGTGAGGGCATTTACAGAATTGGGATTAAAGGAAGCTAAAGATTTGGTGGAGAAAGTTCCGGTTGTGGTTAAAAAGGGAGTTACTAAAGAGGAAGCTGAAGCCATTATTAAGAAGCTCCAAGCATTGGGTGCTGATATGGTACTTGAATGAATTTTTTTTTTCTATTCTTTTTTTGTTTGTAGAATGATTTAGAATAATTGCTGTTTTAGTGAAATAGGTAAAAACTTTTCAAGATTTTTTTTTTTTGGCGGCATTACCATTGGAATTTGAAAGCGAAAAGCTTTGATGAAATGAAGATAGTCTGATATGTGTGAAGCTGGATTAATCTTCCAAGCTGAAAAGATTGTTTCTTTTTGGAAAATGTTTACTTATCTTCTCTGTTATGGAAATCTTTGGAGATGTTGGATGCCTTAGATGTGTTGAATAGATTGGATTAGACTGTGGAGAGGATTGAAGTGCTTTTATTTGGGCTAATGTTAGGACCTGTAGTTTAGCTTCCTGCCATGCTTTATAAAATATTCTTTTGCTAGTTTCCAAGACTGAGAATGCTCAATGAGATGGAAGTGGAGGCAATGGCTTTATCCTTAGTTCAGTTTGATACTTTGATTGTTGTGGCAGCGTGTTATCAACTTTATTGATAGTATCTGGCTCATGGCTCCTCTTGATTATGGTTAGTACAGTACTGCATTTTAGCCTATCTGGCTACTGTAGTTATACACCAAGATATGGTTTTATTCCAAATTTCTTTGACATTTGCTACCAAGGCTGAAATGCAGCTGCTGCTTTAGCAAATTGTCGTGTTTTTTAACTTGTACAAAGTCTTAGTGCACCTACCTGGGAACTCGGAGTTATTGGAATGATGTGCTGCCACATTTAATTGTTGCATCTCTATAGTCTTTATGTTTTGGAGCTTTCTTCTGCTGATTATCTATTTTCTCAGTTTCAAGAGTCTTGGTTATATATTGAAGTATTCCTTCAAATGAGGAAAGGGAATTGTTAGTTGGTCACTAAGTATGGAGGGATGACTTGCTTCAGTTTGAGATCTGGTTTTTAGCCCTTGAAAGGAGTCAATTTTATGCTTTATCAAGCCCATTGTACATGTATCTGTAAAAATCCGTGCCCATCGTCAGCTACCTTTAAGGGAGTCAATGTTATGCTTGCTGTTTAAGCATACTATGTTAGATGGGCAACGAGATGGATCATTATTGAAAGATATTGGAATGATCCGTCATATTTTTTTTTCCTTGCCAGTTTATGGATTGAAAGTAATCTTTGTTTCCGCATAGCAGACCAGGACCAAAGGCCAAAGGGCTTCATGGTAATATAGTATTTTGCATACCACGGGAATGTGCATCCAGGCAATCGATTAAAATGAAGGTAACTGGAGCTACTTCTGCTCCAATCCGATTAAAAGTATGGACCTACAAACTTCACAGAAAGATATATAATCAAGCAGTTTTTGGGTAAGTTAATCATTTTTATTTTTTAACTAACAGATGGTGTAGTTGCAATTCAAACCAAAATATGACTGGATTGAAACCCCCAACCCCCATCCGTGAAAGAAGAAAGAGAGATAAGTTCCTTTATTGAAGTGACCGTTAGCCAACAATAAAACTACACAGCTTGAACACCCACTTGCAAAATTGCAGTTTAATTTTACATTGACTCTCACAAAAGACAGATCATATCTCAAACGTGCCTCATAAATGCCTATCTCTATTTCTTTTGCTATATCTCTATCCTTTACTTCATGCTAAAGCTATATAATCACAAAAACCTCTAAGCTCCTCACCAAATGTTTGTTCAAAAAGCAGAACTTCATGGATTAATCTCACATTTTCTTCTTTACAAGCCCATTATATTTACAGTTGTAGTTATTATCACAGTTGATGTACCAGGCCAACATGATGTCTAGTCTGATGCATGGTTCCAGCAACGAACTAAGACCAAATGGAAGGTATCTATCCATTTATGCCATCTGCACAAGTTTGCAACTGATATCAAGAAGACAAACAACAAACAGGAACACGGTAGGGGTAAAATCTTGTAAACCATAAGATGTCACAATATGGAGCTATATCATTGGAGCACAAATACTAAATTCACAAAGGAAAACCAATAATGCATTGTAGTTTCTTAAAACATGAAAATGATGGATGTTAAAAATGTCTTGCCGCTCCATGCACTATTTCTTGGATATACGCGACAAGTAATACATTATAGTTTTGGAAAACATGAAAATGATGGATGTCAAAAATGTTTCGTCACTCCATGTCACTATTTCTTGGATATACTTGGGTATCAAAATCAACAGGAAAAGAGAAACATCCACGAGGAGTGAAAAACTGATGACAAAATCAAGTGAAAGTAACTTCATGATTTCAAAGGGATTTTTATGAAACTATCCAACCTCTGAGTTCAAAGAAGTCTAAGGATATACTATTTAAAAAGAATAGCTATCCTTACTAAATCTTTGTTTAAGAAACTTCTCAACATGGAGAAAAAAAGGTTAAAGTAGGCTCGCAGAAATAAGTGAAATAAAATTTGTTCAACTGTTGCCAAGTAGTTGCAATGAAGCTTTGTTGATTGGCAGAGCTGCAGGGGGTAAATATCATGACTATGACTAGATGTACTCTTGGTTACGATCCAACCCTCTTAAACAACCAACACGAGCATCCTTTGAGAAAACCTGTGTTTTGAGATCTATGAACATGGTTCAATAAGAAGAATACTTAAGGACTGATTAAAGAGGATTTACCAGGTATCTTGCATCCTAGACTTCAGAGCTTTCTCTGCTGCTTTTGCAAATATTTTTGCTGCTTCTGCTTCAGCTTCTGCTGCCTCTGCTTCTCTTGCTGCCTTTTCAGCCTCTGCAATTGCAACTTCTGCCTCTGCAACTGCTTGTGCAGCAGCTGCAGCAGCCTCTTCTGCAGTCATGCTCCTCATTTTTGACAACTCTGCATCAACTTGGGTTTTAGTAAGAAAGTTGATGCTCTTCTTCTCTGCTTTAGAAGAATCTTTCTGCCTTCCTTCCAGAGGAAGCAGAGGAGATCTTCTTGCTTCAGAAATAGTTGAACGTGGTGCAATCCTGTACTTGTGATTCACCTATCAAGATAAACATCATAAAGATGAATCAAACCCAACTTAGAACATTCAACTTAATCTTCTTTAGAAACATATTTCCCCCTTTATGAGAAGATATGCCTAGAACTTTCCACATTGCATCAGAAAAACCAACATCAACATTTCACACAATTCTTGAGGAAGAAAAATATCAGTGTTGCTGGTTCCTTTATGTAAATAGGATGCAACCTTTCCAAGCTATCTTTCTTTAAATCCAATATTATGAGTGCCCGTCATATAAGTTATCTTAATATCACTTTCAGGAACATCTACGGCAAAAAAGTATCACCTAAGCATTTCCGTCATTGTTAAGGACCTTTTCTATGACCCTGGAACACAAGTGTTGAATTTAACTTTTCTGGCGGGCAAGCTACTTCATAGGTTAAATGATTTATAAACATGATGAAGATAATAATATTCTACAGATACTGTTCCATCAATAATCAACAACAAGATTACCTTTATCAATGTCCCATTTGCTACCAACAGCTTTAATTTTGTTGCCAATAGCTTCTTGAGATTAGGTGGAGTAGCATATTTCTCCTATAATGTCAAAGATAAAACAAACTCAAATTAGTTTAGGTGTTTTAGGTAAGTCATTCACAATAGTTTCAGAGCTGAGCTTTATGTTTAAAGACTTGAAAATTGAATTTGGGCAAGAAATAGAGAAAAAGAAACCCTAAGTTCCACACCTACGCGAGAACAAGAAAGAAGGAAATTGTTGTTATATATAACCATTACTAGAAGCAAAAGCATTCAGCAGTTAAATCAAAAGGGTAATTTTTTCTTCTAGTATTTAGAATTTATGACTGATCCAAGATAGAAAAGTACCTCTATGCATACAGCAATGGAAGCTCTGTCAGAACCACCTGGCTCTTTCAAACTGGTAATAGCCTCCAATAAAATATTGTCCAACCTACAAGCATTGAGAGGATATCACTTAAGCTGCAATGAATATGCCTGCACAAAATCAGAATAGCATGGCTCTGAACACAAGATTGTTTTGGCCTACAATGATCAGAAGTTTGGATAATTTTGGTTTTCATCAGTTAAAAATAAGTGATCTGCAGCCCTAAGGCACTAACAAATATGTGCATTTACAGCCAGTTTGAAATGAATCCATATTGGAAATAAATAACTTTTGCCTTCTTGACCTTTTCATGTTTTAATGTCTGGGCACTTATAAGTCATACCCAAGTTCATGTTCAATATGATATAAGAATATATGTAATAAATAACCTTGAAATTGGTTTTTTTGGACCAGCTGTCCTTGGTGTTCCACTAATCATGTTTAACATCCGGGCACTCATATACCCAAGTTCAATTAAAGGTGAGTTTGATGTGATATAAGAATGTATATAATAAATAACCTTGAAATCAGTTTTTTGGGACCAGTTACTCTTGGTGTTCCACTAGAAACTGCAAGGGGCTTAACATCAACAACTTCTTCTCTTGGAGGTACAGTGGTTAGAGCCATAGGGTTATCATAATGTTTAGTGGCCAACTGATTTCTTTTAAGAGCAAGCTTGGCCTTCTGCCTTGAGCCCCATATGGCTGTTGCATTTATATTTCTCCATTTATCCTGGTCACGTTAAAACCATACACATTAGTTAATCTCTATGCATGACAGAACATTTACCAAAATAAGCATAAAGCTCAGCTTCAATTGTTTAGGATACAATTAATAAGGCACTATCAAGACACAGCAATCTCCGGTCATTAAACCAGAAAACAATAAAATGATTATTTTGATGATGATTGGTGAATCCTGCTTGAGGCTCAAATACATACTTTAAGATCCACATTTGAGCGTGACCGCAAGATGGAACTAAACTCAGGATCTGAAAGTATATTGCGCCATTTTCCAGTTCCATGCTTAACAACTCCTGCCTTAAGGGCAGCTTCTTCTTCTGCTGTCCATTTCTGCTTAGGGGCACCCATGAACAAATTCCTGAAACCCCACAATATAAGAAAATATAAACAATTGAAAATTGAAAAGTTCAAACACTAATACTAACCAATCCTATATGCTTTCGCGCCTACCCATCAAATTTAGACAACCAACTAAAAGCATGAAACCATTTGGAAGGCCATAATCACATTAACTAAAAAACTAGACATTTACAGACAGTTTTGTGTGACACTTTCCAATAAATTGATCGGATTCAATTCTCAACCATTGAGAAATTCAAATAGTGCAAAATTCAAAATCAGAAACAAATACAGAAAAATATTCTTAATGCAATTCAGTTTAAAAAATTTAGACAAAGATTTATATACCCAAACGTGCTCTTAAGCATAAAACTCTTAACTTTCAACTTCTTTTGTCTCAAATTATACATAAATTTAGACTCAACTCATCACCAGAGGTAATCACAGCTAGGAAATGTAAATATAACTATGAATCTTTAATATCCTCTCAAACTAGTAAACTACGATCAAAATTATAATCTGAAAATGAAAATTTTATTGAAAATTTAAAATTCTAATACATTGAAGTCCATTTATTTCCCCTCTGCAAAATACTATTAACAAAAGAAATCAGATAAGTGCATTTTCATCCAAAGCTTAAACTTTGATGAAATTTATAAAGGATCGATTTATTTCGAAAATTCCAAACAAGAAAAAAAAAAAACAAAACTTTGCAAATTAAGTAGTGAATTTTAAAAATTATGAGAGAAATTTTTTGAGAGAAAATTGAGATGATAAATGGAGCACCTGATCGAAGAAACGCGCGAAGGGAGGAAGAGAATTCACGCGGGGAGCATCGGATCTTTGTCGAGAAATGATTTCTTACAAAACAGAGCAGTGAAAAAAACATGCGAAGGAGACTGCTTTTTTGTTCATACGAATATTAAAATGGAAATTTCGATTTTTTTTTACGACTAAATATTTTTTTTATTATTACGATTTTTTATCATGGATGGATGTATACAATGATGAAACTTGCTGTAAATTTTTAAAATAACTTGTAGCCCCCTATTCTTTTCTAAATGAAAATAGGTCCCTAGATTTATGGGTATATTATAAATCAGCTATCAAAGTTTTTCATTTTTTATTTTTATTTTTTACAATTTCCAATATACGAATAAAAAAAATCTCAATAATAAGAGGAAAAATATATAAAATATTTTTCATAAAAAATTTTAAGATAAAAAAAATTATAGATGTGAATCGAATTAAACCTTGAATTCAAATGAAAATAATTGATGGTCCATGAGCTAATTTTTCTGGTGCTAGTTGACGATGTTTCTTCAAATCATTGTTATGTTAATAAATTCGAAATGCAAGATAATTAATCTCGTTAAAAGAATTAATTTATCAAACGAATTCCATAAAGAAAATGAAAAAAAAAAAGCCTGGGGACAATTTCACAAATAAAGAAACAAGAATATCAAAACTGTAATTACCCGCAAATATATTTTATTTCTTTTTTTTTTTTTCTAAAAGAAATTTCCAAAGCTGAAAAACGAGGAGGTTATTTTCATTTTCAGGAGCAGAGAAAAAAAGATTACTCAAAAAAACGGCAGAGATTCTGAGGAGGACAATGGCCGCCGCGAAATCACTGCAAAAGATGACGATCCAAGCTCGAGTGGTTCGAACCGCGCTGGGCTCTCTCTCAAGAAGCTTCTCTTCAGATGCATTGATGGAGGTCAAGCCAGGCGAGGTCGGCGCTGTTTCTGGAATCCCTGAAGAACATCTTCGTAGGAGGGTAAATTTCAAAATTTTGTTGAGGGTTACGCAATTTTCGATCGATCGCATTTTTCCTCTAATTTTTTATAGAATATGGAAATAGAAAATAATTAGTGCGCGTATTTATCTTTTTTTTTTAAACATTCTTCGTAGGTTGTAATATACTCGCCCGCAAGAACTGCAACTCAACAAGGATCTGGGAAGGTTGGAAAGTGGAAGATCAATTTTATGTCAACACAAAAGTATGTCTTTTTTTCCCCATTTCGCTGTTAGAATATTAGTAAATTTTTTAGTTGAATGTAACCCTAAGTTATCTCTAACTGCTGATGATTATAAATGGTAGAAAACCAAAATGACAAAATTAAGCTATCCCTAATCTTCAATCATCTGTTCTTGAATGCAAGTAACCAAAATTTTCCCATGTTTTTCACAGTTCCACACATTTCTTTGAAGATTCTGAATTTATGGTAAATTGTATCAAAGTTCTGCTTGGTGCTTGTTAGGTTGTGGTTTCATTGGTTAAAACTTGTTTTCTTGAACTTAGGCTACATTGCAAAATTCTTGGTGCGGTCCTGAATTAGCCTTCTTTTTGGCCTTGTTATGCACAAGTAAATCTTAAATGTTTTTCTTGTGACCATGATTTACATAATCAATAATTTCTTGTCGCTGAATAACATGGTGTAGGTGGGAGAACCCATTGATGGGTTGGACATCCACAGGGGACCCTTATGCTAATGTTGGTGATTCCGCACTCAGTTTTGATAGTGAAGAAGCTGCTAAGTCTTTTGCTGAGAAACATGGATGGGAATGTGTGGTATGCTCTATCCTCTTTTTCTTCCTTCACTTTTTAAGTTTTATTATAGGACTAAAGTATCAAACTATGTTCGTGGAGTATTATTCCATTTCTTGTTTTGGCCTCAAAATAACAAGCTTTGATGATATTTGGTTCTTTTTTAGTCTGAATCGTTCTTAGATCAACTTTTTGTTGTGTTAGAATAGAATTGTTGTTTTTAATTTCAGATATTTGTTCCCTGTTGTTAGATGGAATATTCACTTGATTATTTTGTTATGAAAATATTTTTCTCCCTTAATCATCCAATTTCTATCTTTCTTGGACGCTAATTGGTGGTACATCTTGAACTCATATGCAGGTTAAAAAGCACCAGACACCAGTGCTTAAGGTTTGAACTCTTTCTTTTGCACTTTTGCTAATTCTGATTCTTTTGACATGAGCGTACATTGTAGCAAGTTTGGGAATGAAAACTGTGTTTACTTAATTTAAATCAGGTTAATTCTTTCAGGTAGGCATAAGAACAAAAACCAACTTGAGATTTCTAAAGGCAACTGATTAAAACAAACCAGTGCATCGTTGGTCTTTAACTTTTCATGCTTATTAATTTGGAATAATGCAGGCCCTGCACAGTCTTGATCCTTTACTAGACATTTTCTTTGGAATCATAGTAATTTCTGTTGTTATATTTTCAAACATTTTGTTGATAGGGTTTTCTCATGGCGTGTGCTAGATATTGTATTTCTTAGTAGCCTTCTTGTCACCATTTAAATCCTAAAATATGCGATTAAGTTCTTAAAGCTGACATTTGACAAGATGGAGTTACTTATGAGAGAGAGAGAGAGAGAGATATTGAAAGTTACAGTACTTGATAGCAGCAGAAAAGTCAAGCTTTTAACTTCGTTGAGACATCTAGGACATGGTTACTGTATATGATTATTGTATATGCTGTTAGAGTGTCCAAAAATCCAGAACAACAGACATTACATGCAATATATTCGAACATTAATATAATGGTCGATCTATTTCTCCACTATCATGTGGTAATGTGCTCTAGGCATATAAGCAGACTCACTTAGATCGTTGTGCATCTATTTTTATGATCCTATGCATGGTTAATGACTATAAACTGTGTAGTTTCCATATTATTCATTTTCACTCTAGTTACAATATCCACAGTAGTATATCTTATCAAATAATTATCTGGTTGCAGGCCAAGTCATATGCAGACAACTTCAAGTGGAAGGGACCTGCCATATCCAAAGACTGATTCTATAATCTTGCAGATCCTTTTGCTTTTTTTCTACCATAATTCAAGTGGCACAACTGAGGCTCTGGTTTTCTTTGTTGAACATTTTCTGCTGTATCTTTTTATGACAATTCGATTAAAATAAATGTGATCATCAGCGACCAAATGGGCGTACTTTTTTGCCCAGTTTCGCCTTCATTCATTTATGATAGAGTTTAGATATATTCCATGTTTGTTGAAGCCTCCATTTCCTTATGCACCCATTTCCCCAATATTCTTATTAGGCGACAACAAAGTTCCTTCTGGTTTCTATGGTAATTCCAAGCCGACAGCTGTTTAGCTTGGTGGCACGGGTCCTTTTGTATGACAAGTTTGAATCCTGTTGATGGTCAGAGCAGGCTGTTTTTAAACCAAAAACTGGGGTTACATAAAACTCTGATATGGGTAACTTGACGACAAGACGCTAAAGTGCTCAGTCTTCAGCATAAACTAGTGAGACAGGATCCCTTAACCAACGTGCACCTGTTTGCTTTAGATTCAGATATATATAAACCATTAAACTATATTACTTATAATTCGCCTACAAAATTGTGTAAACTACTAATATAACAAAATGGTTACAGCTATAATCAATTATAATTCATGACAAAAACCTGATGCAGAGAAACTAGGATCATCCCCTGATCGGTACGTAATTTACAGTGGTTTTGTGGCCAACCAGACCGACGAGATTGCATCCCCTGAGCAGCCCTGGTTACTTACCAAAGGGGCACTGTATGTGTTGCGAGCTCATTTAAATGTTCTATCAGCGGTAATTCCACTTCGATCTGGTAGCAACTTCTTCATGTAATACTTGGATTTACGGGACAGATTAATACTTTTCCTCCTTTCGTCTGGTATCATGTCAATGGTACATTCTCTGAAGCCACGCCTTACAAACCTGTAAAACCATAATTGGGTTTTCACTTTCTACTAATAAGCACTGGCCAGTTTTATATACCGTAACCTGGAGAGAAATAATGCAATAAATTGAAAGGGTAATATTCCATTGTAGACAAACTCTCTCTCTCTCTCTCTCTCTCTCTCTCTCTCTCTCTCTAAGATAGTATATTGATATAAAGTTAATTCAAATTTCTCATTAAATAGAGCATGAAAATGATTACAATAACAAGAACAACATATTAAGTCTTATATCTCACATTTCGGGGTTGTTTGTATGAAAAACCAAATAAGATAATCAAATTAAGTTGTAGTTTGAATTTTTTTATGCCACTCATTTTTTTCAACAACCACCTTTTCATTTAAATTCTTAATCATCATATCGTTTTTTATTATATGTATCCATATCTTTTATGGTTTACCTCTAGATGTTTTGATCTCTCGTAGATCTAGAGACTCAATTCTCCTAACCGATGCACAATTAGGTTTACGTTTCATATGTGCAAATCATCGCAAACAGTCTTCTCTCATCTTCTCTTTAATTCGTACTACCCCTAATTTTTCTCGAATCTCTTCATTTTTTATTTTATCTCTTTTAATCTTATCACACATCTACCTAAGCAACGTCATCTCTGCTACATTCATTTACTACTCATGTTGTTTTTTAACAGCCCAACACTTAGTTCCATATAATAATGCAACCCTTACATTGTTTTATACAACTTCGCTTTTAACTTTAAAGGCATGTTGCGATCACACTACGCACCTCACGCACTTCACCACCTCACTCATCTTGCTTGAATCCTATGTTTTGACATCTGCTTCTATCTCAGTATCACTCTAAATAATTGATCCCAAATATTGAAACTGGCTACTCTTTGGTACTCTCTCACCATCCAACTAAATCACACTAGTACCCACTTCTTTGTAATTACTAAACTTGCATTTCATATATTCAATTTTAGATCCACTCAATTTAAAACCTTGAGACTCCAATGTACTCTTCCATAATTCTAATTTCGCATTAAGAGCATCACAAGTTTCCACAACTAAGACTATATTGTTGGCAAATAACATACACCATGACACCTTATCTTGGATACATCTAGTGAGCTCATCCATAACTAATGCAAAAGGACTTAGAGTTAAGCCTTGATGTAATCATGAGGTAATAGGAAAGCTATCTGTCATGCCCTTAATCATCTTCACATTCGTTACCACTCATTTATACATATCTTCAACCGTGTTGATGTACTTTAAAGGGACTCCTTTCTTCATTAAGGCCCACCAAAGCACCTCTCGAGGAACTTTATCATATGCTTTCTCCAAGTCAATAAATGCCATATGTAGATCATTTTTTCTCACCCGAAAACCCTCCAACAAAAGCCTTAAAAGATGGATCACCTCTGTTGTGGAGTGTCTTGGCATAAACCCAAATTGGTTTTTGAAAATAGTGACATCACGTCGCAACTTATATTCAACTACTCTCCCCAAGTTTCAATAGTATGACTCATAAGTTTTATTTCTTGATAGCTTGAACAATCTTGTATATCACCTTTATTCTTATATAAATGCACGAGTGCTCTTCCTTCATTCTTTTGGCATCTTTTGGGTACGCCAAATTTTGTTAAAAGGATCCGTCAACCATCTTATCCCTATTTCACCCAAACATTTCCATACTTCAATCGGGATTTCATCTGATCCTATAGCTTTCTTTAATCTTATCCTTTTCTAAGCCTCTTTAATCTCATGCAAAAAAATGATTACATCGTTGAAATAATGACTATTTCATAAGTAGTGGGAGAAAAATACAAACCAATCAGCAGTCCGAGTTGTCAGCAGGAATAGCATATCCAATCCAAGGGAGGATGCCTTCTTCTCGACATAATCTGCACAAAAATTGATTGATATCAGCAAGAGAGAATGATTATTAGGAATAATACGGTTGGTTGACCACAAAAAAAAATCACGTAGTAGTATCACATCAAAGTGATGCTCATAAAAATAAAAATCCAGAGCATTATTTCAAACTTAGATTGTAAGAACTCAACTTATAAGCAAATTTTTTATATGCAACCCTGCAGCCAAAAAAGGTGCTCTGTTGGAGTTGGCATTTCTAAAATTATTATTATATTTTTCAATTTGTAAAGATGCTTCCATAAGATAAGAACTCAGATAACAAGTTCTTGCATTGCATCTCTTTCAGCTACACCAGAGTAAGTAGCAACGTAAGATGATGTCCCATATGGCATAAGTAGTGAAGTTAGAGATGTTCTCATCATACCAAGCATTTTATCTCCCTGTCCTTGTCCTCGGCATTCAGGAGAAACTGCAATACAAGCAACTTCCCCACACTTGTCCTTGAAGAAAGGAAAAAGAGCACCACAAGCAATGATTTGACCTTCCCTTTCCATAACAACGAATGAATCTATGGCCTTAAGTAGCTGCGCAAACAAAAAGCCACACAAGAATTTAATTTTCAGATGTTGGCTCTGGCACAAAAGAATAAAGACATTTTTCCCCTTCCATTTTGTTTGTTTGGTGAGATTTGAAACAAAGGCTAATTTAATCAATTTGGTCTTTACAACTAAAACACCCAAGAACCACTAGAAGAAAAGAAGCGTGCAAAGTAGGACCAAACTTTTATTCTTATTCCAACAAGTGCATCATTGAAAAAGCATATAAATCAATAAGAAAGTTAAATTGGTCAAGCAAAAGTCTAAAAGAACAGTACAGACCTCCTCATCACTCCTGCGAACCAATGTGCCAGACTCTTCTAAAGGTTGTATAATTTGCTTGATTCCAGCAAGGTCTGTCACCTTTGCCATCCTAGCCCCTTCATATAGATCACTAAATAACAAGCAACACCAAAGCCAGCGAATTGAATGCAAGATAGCTTAATAATCTCACAATAGCATTCATATAAACTAACAAATGTCAGCCACATGAAGTTACTTTGAGATCCTAGTAGTCCTTGGAAAGAAGGATATCAGAACAACATATCCCTCCAGTTTGTCCGTTGCCAAATGTTATGAAATTGATCAGTGCTTTGTGCATGACCCAGCAATTAACTAAGAGATATCACATGCTTCTGAAAACCATTTAAGTTGGAAAAAATTGTGATAATACTAGAAAGTCCTATAAAGTATCAGCAAATTCAAATAACATGTACCTATAACTCTACTGAACCCTTATACTTAGTTGCATATAGCATCCATTTTAGGTTTAACCCTCCACCTAAGTGGCGGAGCCCACAAAAACATCCAAATAGGCAACCAGTAATGCAAAGATTGAGAACTCACAAAGCAAATGCAGATACATAGGGAATTTAATGAACCATGTTTTGTACTTAATGCCTATTTTCCCGTAAGGTTAATCAACAGATTCATTAAAAATGTTAAATACCTGGCCACCATTGTCCCCATTCCATCTCTTTTGAACAGTTCCAATAATAAGACCCCACCGATAGTGCCATCTAACAAATGAACTCTTTGTACACCACCCTGATAATGAAGCAGAAAATACAATTGGCATATTGTTTGTTGGGAAAGCATATAAATTTACTAAGCTGGCAGAAAAACTATTGAAACTTACTCGGCATACAAAAGCTGCAGCAGCCAACTCGGAAAGATAACCATTTTGTCGACTTAGCCGCTCCTGACCTCCAATAGCAAAGCCCTGTTCTCCAGACCATAGTCCATTGCCATTATCAAAACCAACACCATTCTGAAAGGTTGGGTTACGTGTTGTATTAGCAGCCTTCCCATTCTGCGAAGAGTTGACAACTGCAATAGAATTATTATGTCCAAGGCATGTAAGGTCTTCTTCACCAACAGCTTTCACATATTTAGCTGCTATCTCGCTTTGCTCAGCCCGCTGACGGATTAACATATCTGCTTCTTGAAGAGGTAAGAAATTAATAAGGCGTCCATTCTCATCCAAAATCGGACCATCTATAATGCAAATAAGCTTATCTGCTCCAATAGCTAATGCACAAGCCGTAGCAACTTCATAGGTGCTGAAATGTAGGAAAATAAAAAGCATTAGCAATCAGGTTTTAAATCATTGAAAAGTTAAACAAAACTTTTTAGGCAAGTCCAAGAAGCACCATATAGCAATATGTTTTAGTTAAATTAGAACAAGCTTACAAAATCAAAACACATATGCAAGGAATACAAGGACTGTTCATACTGAGACAAAGTATATTCAAACCCACAAGAGATTGTAACTTCCAGAGTTTGGTTTTCTTTCCACTAACATAATGGACATCTTTTTAATACTACATAGGCAACTAATGAGACACCAAACCAAATGATCCCACCATATGAGAAAAACAACTTAGATAAAATAAATGAAGATGGAAACAGTTGAAGGGGAAAATGCCTAATAAATAATAACTACTAAAATTGCAGAATATGACTTATTTTCCCTCACAAAGTTGCTCTAGAGGATAAATCAAGGAATTTTTACTTCAGCAGAAAATATATAAGTGCAAGCTGCAACCAAATACTATTAAAAGTTACACAGCATACTTGCAATTCAAAACTTCTCCAGAGCTAGAATACCCCAGGTTGCTTAATATCACTATACAACCACCATCAAGCCTCTCACGCATGCGAACAACATCTATTTTCTTGACTTCACCTGTTGCTCCATAATCAACACCTTCAACAACTCCTCTTCTCTGCAAAGGGTTTAACAAGATTCACAGAGGCAAAAATATAAGAAGTCTAAAAGCAGAGCACATACTAAAAGCATTCTTTTACAGACCACCCGTCACCCTACATGTACATACACACATAACGTAAAAGCAATATATTCTCACTCGTCATTTTACAAGGATATAAGCATAGTTTCAAAGAGAGAATATTAATCCACATAAAAGCATAACCCACATGCAAATGTTATTTTAAAAATATAAACATTCTAACCTTGGCTGCAAGGAAGTTACCACTAGCAACGCTCACACCAACTTCATGCCATCGGCTACTATCACCATGTCGACGGATATTATAGATGGAAGGTCCAGGGGAAAGTTTTGCCTCTATCATTAGACGAATCCCTCCTGCCGCTTCCATCGCAACAGCAAGAGATTCAGAGTCTGTTATTCTATATCTACCATCATACTTTGGTTCATGCCCTGCAAATTTTCATAGCTCATTTTAACCTTTAAGTACTACTAATCTACATAATGTCAACAAAAATTTTAATCACAGTTAAAGTGAGATAAAGACTGAATTATCCACCAAAAACACGTGCTAGAATTAGGCAGAAAAAAGGTTACTAAATGTTGCCAAAGCTTCAAAATTGCTAGGATTAGAAATATAAAGACAAGTAATACTACAAGATATTATTGAAAAAAAGTGAAGTAATAAACCTACTTCCATGATCATTTCAATGAGAAACAAAGTGAAATAAAAGACCATTAAACGACAATGTTTTTGTTTGGCTCACCTCTCTCGGCCAAAAGCTTATCGATTTGCACGTGAGTTCCCGGAACAATAACAAATCTGATCCCTAGGTGATGCAAAAACGCAATATCCTGCAATTACCAAAAAAAAAAAAAAAAAGTTAATACCTTGACCATAAAAAAGGATCAGAAGTTTTTAAATTTTGTTTTTTTTTGTTTGTTTTTGCCTTTAGAATGGCGTTCAAAAATTGGGAAGCGACGATTTCGCCGGAAATAATAACAACGAAAGTGCTGCCACGGTGGGCCCAGAGGTAAGGCCAAGCCTCGCGGAACCACCGCACAAACTGCTTATCGTCGACGGAGTTGTAAGTCTCCTCCACGCTATCTTCTTCGCTAAGTACATTGCGCTTTACCAAATCACCTCGCTTGGACCCGAGTTTGGGTTTAAGAGACTGAGTCCAGAACTTCAACTCGGATTTCAATCTTACGACACCGTTTCCGAAAGCATGGCGGGATGAAAAGAGTTTGACTCGAGCGGGAGAGAAAAGAGGGACGCGAGCTGTTGACCATGAAACAGCCATTTGTGGCGGCCCCGAATAGTTTGGTTAGAGCGCGGAAGCAGCTACTACCAAGCCTTTTTCTCCTTACACTTACAAGCAAGCAATTTGAAAATTAAAAAAAATTTGCTAATTATGACACGTGGTTGCGGTTAATGATGTGGGATCAACCGAGAAGCCGCCACGGCTGAACCGTGGTCGGTAAAAAGAGAAGGTGAGACCGACGCTGAATTTTTTTAGTATTGTTTAGAAATAAGAAAAAGATACGGAAAAATAGGAAAAAAATATATTTTTGCCAAGAATTTACTCCTCTAAATACTATATTTATTTTTAAAGCCAAAGTTTAATAAATTATTTTATAGATTTTAAAAAATAACATCTAATAAATTTCATCACCAATAATTATTTAATTCTCTTTTATTTTCAGTTTAAGACTTTTTCACATAAAAAAATTATTGACATTGACTTCTAAAAATCGGCAAAGAGATAAACTCAGGTAAAATTTTGTAAAACAAAGCTTTAAGAGACCAAATATGAATTTTCTCCTTTATTTTTAATATTATCCAATTTTGTCAACTTTTCACTTTCAATCAATCTTTCTGATCGTGAAAGAACCATTTTGAGGGGCCCCTCATGAATTTATCATATACACCTTCATAAGGGTATTTTAACTAAAGTTTTGGTTGCTTTATGCAATACTTTAGTTTTTTTAATTAGGTTTTGATGATGCAAAAACCGAATTTTTCATGTCTAATTTTCAAAAAGAGAAAAAAACAAAGCAAAAGCAAAATATCTTGTCTACTATTTATATATATAAAATACTATTTGTCATGACTAAGTTGCATAACTTCTTTTCATGGACCAAATTGTACGATTGATTAATAGAAACAGAAGACCAAGAAAAAATCCATATTTTACCTGATAAAAATTTCTCACTCTATGTTTGATCAAACAAAATGAGAAACAGAGCATTGTGTATTTGGTTTTCGTATCATAAGTTAAGGGTTTTTTTAGATTAAATTCATTCATGTAATTTAATCTTTTAATTAACCTAATTTTCAGATTATCAAACAACAAATAGATGGAATACCTTGAGTATGGAATCCAAGTATGGACTAGCAACAATTTCTCCTGACAAGAGCAAAACAAATGTGTTTCCTCGATGCAAATAAACATAAGATTGTGCTTCCCTGAACACTTCTACAAACCTCGAGTCGACTTCCTCTGAAATATCATAAAACTTCTGGCAGCAGCCATTGATTTCCACTTCACCGTTCCATCCACACCCTTTCACCACCGATCTTCTTGTTCCCTTCCTCATTATTTTTCTCGAACCATGATTAAACATACTCCTTCGGAAGCTTTTAAAACTGCAGAAACTCGATTTACGACATGAACCGCAAAATATTTCCCCATGATTTTGTTGTGAATTCCATGCAGGAGGACTACTTGCTTTAGCGGCAGTTGCCATGTATTAGTTTGTGAAACATTTAATTAAATCATAATGAAAAGGTTTTCTTGAATGAGAAAAAACCAGAAAACGCGGCTAAATGGTGGAGTGAAGAGGTGGATAGGGAAAGAGAAGGGTTAAAAAAAAAGAGGACGAAGACAATTAAATTTACCTGGGAATCTGAGGCACAAATGGTGGCCCCCATAGCTTTTTCTGTTTTTTCTGGTCATCAGCTTTATATAAATCTCAAAGGAATATCAAGTTTGTTGTATCTATTTATTCGATTAACAAGATCAATTCTCACAAGCGTTACGTCAACATTGTCATATTACGTTCAATGACTTTTCATCATAAAAGAGGCTTGCCCTAATTAAGGAAGGATTCGTTCAATTATTTTCACTGACCTCTTATCAAGATATTATTTAAAACAAGATTTATCAATTTTTAATTTACTTAAAATCATTAAATATAATTTATACTTACTTAAAGTCATTAAATATAGTTTACAATCATCCACGTAACTTCTTTTTAAGCTCAATTATCAACTATCAACTATCTTAATAATGTCACTATTTTTTTTTTCATATATAAGATAAAAAAATACCCAAATAATGTATGAATTAAGTATCCTTCCTCTTGAAGCTTCTTCAATAGATATTGTATTCCTTTTTCCTCACCAAAATCTAAAGCACTTTATTGATTGAAGCGTTGGAGCGCTTCCTGAAGGACCAACTCCAACACCCCTTGATCGTGTTTTCTTGCTACAGGTTCTAACTTCCCTTCACATAGCTTCCAGATCATTTTCCTTGAGCTAACACCTAAAAACACTTTCAACAATTGGCTCAATCTGTAGAAAATAACAGCCATGTCTCATCCCCACTTTTCTGAAATAGCAACACAAGTCATGAACATGACCACCCAAGCTGTAGCCATCTCTATTGTAGCAATCATGCTCCCAACCCCCCCCACCAAATCCCATCACCAAACCTTTCATAGTGGACACCATGATATGACTTCATTTTTTCATTTCCTAACCACCTAGTGTTGTTAAATGCATGTACAATGCAACTAATGGATTATTATCAAAACTTAATGGGAATTTTATCTCCAAACATGACCCTAACCTCCCATTGGTCCACACTATCATAACATATAGATTTATGAATTTATAACTAGATTTATCAAATGAATGGAGTCGTCACCAATCTTTTTTACTAGGTGTAATTGGTCACCTGAAGAATCTATTCTCTTAAGGAGTTTCTAAGCTTGGCTAAAGGTCCTTAAAAAAATAGATTCAGGTCTACTAACTAAAACAATATTCAGATTTTCGGTTACATGTGGGGAAGGTTATAGCACCCCCACATGCCCATATGAATGATGGTACCATATTATTTTGAATTTATCCTATGGTCTTGAGTCTAATGGTTTCAAATTTTTTTGTTGAAATTTTGAAAATAATTTATAAAATTCTCTATCAATCTGGTAGAACTCTTAAAAAATACTTCTTCACCTCAAAAGTATTCAAGAATCTCATTTGATTTTTTGAAGAGGCTCCGTCGTCGGAAAAATATTTATTTATTATTTATTATTTATTATTATTATCATTTTTGTTGAAAATAGATCTAATATTTTACCATTTGGGCCAAATTATAAATATTTTCTCTTTTGAATTTCTAAAATTTTTACTATTTGGGCCTATTTAGAAATTTTTTTTTTTTTTTTAGAAAGAAAATAATATGACAATTATTTTTATTGAAATTTCATCTAAGTTATTTCACAATTTGGATCAAATTTAGAGAAAATTTCTCACCTAGAGATTTATTAGAATTTTACCATTTGAAATTTCTAAGAATCTCATCATTGGATAATTATCATATATTTTCAAGCTAAATTTTTGGTTTGAAAAAAAGAATACAATTACTTTTATTGAAACTTTCATCTAAATTATTCTACCATTTGGGATAAATTTAGAGAAAATTTCTCACCTAGATATTTCTTAGAAATTTACCATTTAAAATTTCTAACAATCTATCATTAGGTAATTTGTATTTAATTCCCATAATTTTTATATATTGTTTTCATTTTTTATTTTTTTTGTTTGAAAATAAATATTAATTATTATTATTGAAACTTTATCTAAATTATTCCACAATTTGGGATAAATTTAAACAAAATTTCTCACCTTAGAATTTTATAGAAATTTATAATTTAAAATTTTTATAAATTTCATCATTGGATAATGAATATTTATTCTCCAAATTTTTATTTTTATTATTCTATTGAATAAAATAAGTAAATAAAAAAATAAACAAAGAATTAAATAAATGAATACACATGTAAATGAGTAAAAAGTACCTTTCAATATTATAAATAAAGCATTGTTATTTTAATAATGTCAGTAAGTGTCCCATCCATTTAAATGCAAATGGCTTGCGCAAGCCTCCCATGCAAAACCAATAGTACTTACTTGCAAAAAGCCTTCATGACTTTGGTCCAAATTGGATATTTCCTCAACGTGCTTCTCTTTAAAAATTATTGTTTTTTAAAGAAAGACAAGTCTTTGTTGAGGAATACCCACGAATTTCAAGTGCGTTCTCTTTAAGCTTGACTGTTGCTGTGGTACTAGAGCCTAAAGTTGTGGTTATGGATGACAATATTTCCCAACTAATGGTGCTTGTAATGGCAGAGTGCTTAGGCGGTGCTATCAAAGCTTAGAGATTCGTGTGGTATTGATGATAATGGTGGCAGTAGATCTATGTTGATGGTGATTATTCTCATGTAGTAGTGGAGACCGCAGCAATGAAGACAGTGGTCCAGCAAAGATGACGATGGGATAAATGAGTTTTCTAGACTTCGTGTACCTTTTTTTTTCTCTGTATTTCTTCTCTATCAGAACCTAGTTTTCGATTGAATGTTTAACCGAAAACTAGAAACTTGCTCTGAAAACTGAAAAATATGGCTGAAAAATTCAAGTTTGATCGAAAAGTTCACCGAAATCAGAACCTTTTTCTTTTGCTTCTGTTTGCTATTTATTTCTTTCTGTCTTTGCTCTGTAATTACTGGGTTTATTTATAGGAACAATCAGAAGAATTTTTGATTAATTTCGATTCCTCTGTTTACACTTATCCTTTTAGAAATCGAACCCAACTATAACTCTGTCAATGCGGTAAAGTTTGCATAAAATTCAACCTATTATCTCCTAAAACTAATGATAAGTCTAAAAATAAAATAAATAAAATAGATAAATAAAATTAAAAAAAATTGAAGATAAAACCAAAAAATATAAAATAAATAAATGGAGGGAAAAAATGAATGGCCAATTGCGTCAGATAATCTGAGCCCTGTTGAGCTAGGCTTAATTAATTTGGGTTTAGGCCCAGACCTTGTTAGATTAGGTCCAATGGGCTCAGGTTCGGGCTAATTAGGGTGTCTACACACACCACTGATGCTAAACCCTCAAACCCAACCTCTCAGCCACCCTCTTTGCAAGTTCAGTATTAATAGTTAATTAATGTTATTCACTGGCAAAACATTTTTCATGCCACATTTATTACGCTCCCAGCTCCATAAATTCCCATATACCAAACAAACATGTAACAACCTTCTTTTAAGTTTTACCATGCATTAATAATCCAGATCCAACTCTTAAATGCCCAAATAGCTATCCAACAAAAATTACTCTAACAAAACTAGCAAGCCACCCAACAACTTCCACTAGAAAGACCTCACCCAAAAAAAAGCTCTACCTTTTCTTTTTGAGAACCACCCAAATACCCCCAACATA